CTCCGCCTGCTTCCCCCGCCCTCCCACTCACCCACCTACCTACCTTCAGGTGCAGCTTCTGCAGCAGGCGGGAAAGGAGCAGCGGAAACCGGCCCGAGTCCATGGCACTGAGCAGCGACACAGCCCTGCGGATGCTGCGCGGCAGGAGAGGAGGCAATCAGAGGGGCCAGGGCCCGCCGCGCCCCGGCACCATGGCGAAGCCCTGCCCCCGACTCACCCGCCTTAACCCACCGCGGTGGCAGCGGCACCGCAGCCGAAGCAGCATTTACCTGTCAGTCTCCTGAACGATGGGCGCCGCCATAGCTGCAGCTACAACCCCGCCCCACAACGGCAGCCCGGCGGGGCCAAGTGCCGCCGCCACTCCGCGCATCGGCGCAGCGCGGTCACGCTGGGCAGCGAGCCATCTCAGGCGGCCCAAGGGAGATCAGAGCCGCCGTGGCCTCGGGGCGCTGTGAGAGGCAGACTGACAGCGTCTCCGTCGCGGGTTTGCAGCACCCGCTGGAGAGGCTGTGGCTGAAGTTCTCGGGTTTAAAGGATTTAAAGACGGGCTGGCGCCTGGCGGAAGCCGCTTCCCGCGGTGTTTCCCGCTCTCTTATGTCTCCTCAGTGCTCATTTTGCTCTGGTGTGGGTTGTGCGGAAGTTCGCAGCCCCTCCAGACCCCGCAGAGCCTTTTTGTTACCCTGTCGTACCGCGCAGCCAGGCTCCAAACCACGGGCCAGGGAACTTGTTAGTACGCCACGAGCTTGAAGTTGTCACACCTCCAGCTTTACACAAATAGTTCCAGAAGCCATGGAACTAACAGTGGCTGGCGGCTTTCCCGTCCTCCCTAAATAACCTGTCCCCAAACATTGGCCCACCCCATGCACAGGACCGAGAACGCTGCGCCAAGTGTGTGCTGGCTGGTGAGATGCATGGACAGAAAGGCATCAACATTGGAGTTCGCAGGGAAGCTGTGCTGGGTTGGGTATTTCGACTCCTTGAGTGAATGTCATGCCTGTGAGACCTCTGGTTTCCAACAGCTTTGGCTGAAATTTAAAAAATGAGCTAAAAGCCAATGGGACAAGCAAATGGGAACAGGCAGCATGCCTGTGTAAACCTTATTTTCCTAGGAAGCCAACTAAAAATATGTAAAATCTGCAAAAGCCCTCTGAATGTGGCTATAAAGGTTTATAAGATACCTAAGAAGGGTTAGGTGAATGGTACTCAATTATGACAGCTGAAGAGACAGGTGTAAACTTGCTGGAAATACGGTACTGTAAGGAAATGTTTTACAGACATCTATACTAAAATGTCACCCTTATTGAAGTGAGGGGGACTTAGTCATTAATTTCAATAGCACCAGGATTTCAGCCGGGACATTTGAAAAGGCAGTGTATTTTTAATAAACTCAGCCTTAAGAGTAAGGGAATAAGAGTGACAAACCTGGCCGTATTCCAACAGGACTTGGAAGCAGAGAATTCCTGGCTGAGACTTTTAACAACATTTGTACCATAGCTCTTACCAGAAGTTGGACCCACAGCCACTGTACGAAAAGCTGATGCATTTTTCAAGCTATTTTTCTGTGGTGAAATATAATTACATTTGAGTGCTTCATCTGTTTTTCTACTCTTACAAAACATGAAAAGACAATATTTTAGGAAGACATTTATTTGGCTAGAAAAGAAAAACGAGTGTTTTACTCCATGTTGCAATAGCGTAACTTCTTGTTCTAAGAAACCTCCCTCGAGAGCAGGGTTTTATAAAATTTGCACAGTCAGAATGAGCAAGGGCGTCTGGAAGTCTAGCTAATTGCTTGCTTACTTTAAAAAGTCGCAGCTGATACAGGTATTGGATGCGCGACTCAGGTTTGCTGCCAGTTCTCTAGTTTTATAATCATGTGGACCTATTTTTAAAATGGATTTTTCATGCTTTTACTTTGTTAAATGAATATTAAAAGTGAATAGTCTAAATAATGAACATTAAAAACTCAACTGGACAGGATCCTGTTATCTTTAGCACATCTTTGTATCTTTAAAGTCGTAATATTTAATGGCCTTCACTTTCATTGTAGCCTCTTTTGAGCCACATGATAATAATTTTATTGGTATTTCCTTTAAATTGCATGTTGTTCTAGGAACAGCTGTAAATACCCGATGCAGTATGCTAGGACAGCTGCTGTGTTTTTTTCTGCAGAGCTGTGACAACTTCTGATATCAAGAAGTATAGACATATTGTTAAATAACAAGGGTCTTTAGTGAGCAGTTTTCTGGCTTTAACTCTAATGAAGCACACTGTAGGCAAGCAAGATGCTGTGCACAGCTCTTACTTTGATTTTGGAGTTTTCAAGTTTGTAAATAGCAGGAGATGCACAGTGACATCAAGAGAATCCAAGTAAGACAATGCCCAGGCACACAGGAGGTTAGTAGAGAAAGAACCATCTTTCGTACGCAAAAAATCGTATGGGAACACATTCATCATTTCCATGAGACCAGTTTATTTGTAGTACTAACATCTTGGAAAGCAGAGGATGAGTATCTCCTTCCAGATAGGTATGTATTGTGAGGAAGGAAAATACAGTGGAAGGCACAATGAGTTCAAATTAATCAATTTTTAGGCAAGATAACTAAAAGATGGTACCTTAAGTAGGCTGCAGTTTAATATGTACCAGTGCTTTCATCTGTCCTTAAGCTACAGAGGGAGCACTGGTAGCTGTGAGCAAAGCAGCCACATGGGACAAGGAAAAGACAGGCAAAATTGATTCACAGTGTCACAAACTGTTTAACCGGCATAATTCAGGATGGGGGGCAGAAAGGGGAGGAAGAAAAGAAGGACCAACAGACCTTACAGAACAGTTCACTCATTTGCTTCCCCATATTTTAAACAGCAGGTTTCTAAAGCAAATTTATTCCATAGGGAAAAGCATACTCTGTTTAGACTGACATGAGGTAAAAAGATGATCTAGTGTCATCTGGAGAGTGGTGAATTTCATAAGAGGCTAAGAAATGTTCTCTGCTTTTTCTGGTAAGGGATTTTATTTAAAACCACAATGTCATGCAGTGTGGCATTATGTAACTACCTAACAAAAACTATCAGATATGGGCACTGTTATTTTTATGTACATGTATCTACCTCTAAATTTCTCAGTCAGTATAAACATATGTATGACACCGGTCTTTCTCTTTTTTTCTCTTCCTTTCCCACCTTCTCCCCTTACATCACCCCAGCCCCCCCACCCCCAATGTACAAGCATCCTAATCTGGTGGTTTTTTTCAGGTTTTGTGCTATTATTTTCAAGGCTGCACTGTGTTTGTGATGATGGAGTTCTCTTACACTTTGCATTTAGCTGTGATTGTGACAGAGGCACAGTCCATGTTAAAAATCACAGAGTAGCACCAATGAATTCAACAATTGGACAATCTGGGTTTAATCACATTACTCAAAAAATTGAACATGTAGCTTTACCACAGGAATCCACTTGGGAAACTAATTGGGTTTTGCCTTTAAGTGGAAAGAAAGTGAATCTAATTCAAACCTGACCAATTCAGATCTTGAGATTATTTCAAAGGAAGGCTTCCATCTTCCTGTCCATGTAAATCAACAATTGTCTTCTTGAAGAGCTGCTTATTTAATCAAGTCCAGAGTGAGTCTGACACACCTGGAACAAGAAGTCAGTCCCTGACTACACTGGAAGGATTTCCATCTACAAAGAAATAGAGGTCAGAGATTATATGGACTATTTGGACTCCCAGTACAAGTCAAAGGATACTTTGGGATCAATGGGGTGTATGAGAGAACAACACCAGACCTGACTGCCACACATAGAGTGTTTTAACCACCATAGCAAATATTCCTATGAATTTTTTTTGGTACTGGGTGTTTTTATGTTACAAGCTTAAGTACTAAGGTGTCACTAACTGAGAGGAGCAACAAATCTTTCTGAGGTATCAAGTCTGAAGGAGGCTGTGGTGTTAAGACATTATTGGGATCTGTTCCAGGAAGTTTATTCTACAGGGAGGTATCTCCACATTGGAGAGGAGGTCTTTGCCTGCAGAGAGTGGCCACTTGTAGGGGAGAAAAATGGTCCCACATTCAAAGTCAGGAGAGTCTCCTCAAAAACAAGCAAAGTTCCCAGGCCCAGAGAATGATTCCTCCACTAGCAGCACACTCCTGGAGTTTGCCTGCAGCAATTTGCAGCCTTCCCCCCTTCATGATCCAGAGATCCCTCACTCCTCAGAAAGTTCCTGCATGCCCATCATGAATAAAAAGGCCTACCTGATAGAGGGCTGGTTGCAAGTTACAGTATTTGAAATCTGTCATGCTTTCCATGAAGAGGAAACTCCTGGAAATGAAGAGACTTTTCTGTCCAAAAGCATAATTTACCAATCTGTTTACCTCTAGCTGTATAACTAATGACTGATCAAGGTTGAGTGTTTCATATGCTGTAAAAACAAATAAAAAATTCCGACTGAATATGTTGGTTTCAGTCTTGCAGGCTAAGCAGGCAAGAAAGAATTGCAGAATTGTTTCTGTTCCCCTCTGCTTGACTTATGGAGGGACATGGAAAGTGGTGACCTAGTTTCAAAGAAATGTTATCTCAAATGAATCCTGCCTCATGTTATACAAGACATGAATGCAGAAGAAGGAAAAGACACCTGCACAAGCATTCACAAAAGAGCTGTCACACATCTGCGTAAATGAGCAAGATACATCAGCAAGAATAAAGAAATTATTACAGGTAATGTGGTTCAGCTTCCCAGGGTCAGAAAATTGTCTTCCCACAGCAGTCCAGACACCTTCAGCTTTAGAAAATCAAAAGTAGGTATCTCAGTAAAGCACACAAGGATGAGGAAAAATGAAACAGATACTTTAATGTAATGGAAAAGATTAATGTCTGCTAGGCAGGCAGCAATAAAGAAGCATGACAGACACTTCACCAGAGACAATTCATAAAGCCAAGATTTGCTTTAATAACATGTGAAGAAGAAGAAATTTGCTCACGCACAAAAACTGTAAGAACAAAGTCAAACAGAGTCAAGAAATGGAAATACACTGATCACCTTCCCATCTTCAGTTTCAGTTTTCTCATAATACCATTTTCTATTGCAGCGACATTCTGCTCCACATTTTTTTGAATTGCATTTGGGGCAAGGATAGAAGCAACCCATGCAGGTCTCTTCCAGGCAATCACACAAATCGACGTTATTACAAAGCAGCCTGCCATGTCTGTCATACTTCTTTGCAGGTCTGCAAAAGAGAAGAAAAAGTGATTCTCACAGAATGCTTCAACATGTATGAAGACTAAACCAAAAAATATGGAAAACATCTGTCCAGGAACAAATATTTTCTCTTTAACAACCTCACAGCATAATGAAATACCAGGATTACATCCTAATTGCAACAGTTACTGTTATTAAAAATGAAAGTATGCTAAGGAAGTAAATCAAAACTCTCTCAAGTCACACAGAAAGCTTGTTTTCCTAATGTGTAATAAGAAATTTTGCTGCAAAATATTAAAGCTTTTATTAGTTCAATTTATATTCGGTAAAGAGCATACCAGCCATTTTTTTAAAGTAAAATATGTAATAAATTAGCACATCTTACTTCTTCTTCTTAAAAAAATCTTGTTTCATCTGTGACATGCACGCTTTCTTTTTCTGCTCTCTAATTTCAGGATTGAAGTCAGCTACCTGAGGTCCTGGATTTTGAAAGGCTAAGGATTTTAATTGTTTGTCAAGTTGCTGATAGAAATAAACAAGAGAAAAATTATAATTAGTGCAACAGATATTTATAAGCTGCCAAATGACCTCCTGGCTTTCAAATTACATTAAAATTCATATTCTTGATAACTCAAACCTGCACAGGTAGGAAAGTGAAGAACTCCACCTAAATTAAGATCATATTGTATAAAATGCTTTCTTGTCTGTTAATTGAGTATTCCTTTGCCCAGCTGTATATCCTGACAGGAGAGGAAAAACCATGACTCTGCATACATGTGACTAGTACAGTGGCATGAAGTTTGAAGGTGATCTTGTGGGAGACAGTATCATGTATTTTTTTCTTCAACTTTATCCATAATGTAAAGACAAGTATTTGTGATTATAAGCATAACAACTGGATTTGCTGTATCTTAACTGTTCTCTCAGATGCCTAGAAGTCATCTTTGTCCAAACAGTCTGGGGGCCATAGAAATGACTGGCAGAGCAACTACTGCATGAAGGGAGCATTTGCACAAGTGAGAAGTATGAAAAAACACAGACAAAAATAAGGAAGCTAAACTGAACAGAGATTTTGTGAATTTTCTTTCCTATTTTATGGAATTCATATTTGTAAATAGATAAAACTGCTGAATAGTTCTGGAAGTTAGAACATCAGCTCTATGTATTGCCATTCCACACAGCCAGTGTATGTTGACAGTCATGTCTAAAGTCAATGCAAAGAAACATGGGCCTTGTGTCAAACAATTTCTCTTTGGACAGTGACTGTGGACATCAAACATGCACTTGTAATTCATTATGCAATGGCACAAACATACATGCAGATTTATCTTTTCTCCTCTTTGGTAAATGCAGCTGACTTGCCACCCCTCAGCTTCCCTAGAGGGTGTCATCACTTTCATGGTCCACAGTGATTTTTCACAAACAAGTGATCCCCGTTATTGCTTCTCATGGGGAAAAAGTTCAGTCCAATCTGCTGATACAGTGATTTAGAAATACTCACTTGAAGTCACTTGAGTGTACTTGTTTACAATGTAGTTGATGCCATACGTCTTCAGTTGCATCTTCCTGAAAACCTGTAGAGCAATCTCATGCACCTACACTATTCAGACATTTCTTTTGCCTTTGAGTATGGGGAGATCTTCAGTGCAGAAGATATGCTTCAGCTTCATCATTGTTCAGAATCGTAAATTATGCAATTTTAAGTTGAAACATATAATAAACTATGGAGATAGTCCTTCCTTAAGGAGTTCTCTCTTATTTCCCCACTTACCATATCACTGAACTCAGAAGTGTTCTTAGCCCTCTAAATCACTGCACTGCAAACTTGACTCATTTCACTGTTGTTATTAATGATACTTCCCTATTGACTCTAGCTTTTTATTTCTGTAATTACCTAAGAAATTGAAGGCAATAAGTATCTTGATAATAAAATGGTACTGACAAAGTCATACCAGTTGTTTTTGTGTTACTGAAGCATCCTTCTCAGGAGAGACATTTCCTTCTGCAGATGTTTCCTGGGCAGAATTGCTTTTCTTGTAGTTTTCTTCTGTGAGATCACTCATTTTTGGCCACCCTTGTGAAACACATACATACATGTGTTAGGACATATACAGGAGTGTGAGATCCACAGAATTTTAAGTGAAAGTTTTAAGGTAAGCAGGTGATATCCATACTAGGCGTTATGTATTCTTAACCCACAGCAAATGCAGAACAAATGCTGCTCAGTATCAGCCTCGATTAAACTGTACTAAAATAATGTAACTAACATAACAAAAGCTGTATCACCAAAGCCACTCTACAATTGGTTAAGCAAACCTCGGAAAATCCCTGGTGTTTAAATAACACAAAAACTGAAAGAAATGCTGTCACCTGTGATTCTGTAGCTGACACTGCTTCATCTCATTGCCAGTTTTACCGTAAAGGTGAGAAAGGTGAGAAACGGTAAAGGTGAGAAACGGTATTCTCACAGAACACGTAAGAGCAACCGGGGACGGGTGGTGGAAATGGAAACAGCACGCAGGAGCAATCATTTCGCTTACCAGCAGGTGACACTGTTGTACCAGCTGTCGTTCTTTTTGCAAGCCTTCGAAAAAGGGCGGCCGCGGCGGCGCTGGGGGAAGCAGGAGGGGTCTGGCCATATTCTCTTACATTATTTATAGACACCCAAAGCGTGTCAGAGTTGTGTCCCTGCCAACGAGGCTATTCCCCACATATTCACAATTTTCTCTCTGAGGATTTCAACCAATGGGCTAAAAGTAAATTTCTTGGTTTTTACACCTCAGTCCTGAAACATTTTGTGTATAAGTAGAATGTGTAAATTCCAGGATTAATAGAAAAAAGTGAATCACTCTATTAACAAAGCACCCGGGGAAGACTGAGTTCTGCAAGTCTGTCCTACAAAGGCCATCCACGACCTCTCAGCAGCCACACAGATCAGGGGTGGAAACTGTTCAGGATGGATTTACCTACTTATAACCCATCTTGTGAACCTACTTAGTTAAAACTTTTTATGCAATATATGCATTGCCAGTGCCTCAGACTTTTACCGCAGCCACCACCAGAAATATTTAAGCTTTTTTGGAGTTCACTCAACCCTTTCCCAGGTGCTGCCCAGTCAGTCCCATTGCCTCTCAAAGGTAGTGCAGTTGTCTCTGCCAGGTTACCCTGCACTTTAGGATTGTTACCCAAACACTGCCCCAGAGACAATCTTCATTTCACCGCTGCCAAAGGACCAGCAGAAGAGGAGAAGCAGGAGAGGAGTCCAGGCCTTTAATTCCTTCTGTTGCAGCCTCTCCCTGCAGGGTGCCAGTCAAAGCGGGAACAGCAATGAGATCTTGTAGTAACAGGAGGGGATACTTTTTTTGAGAGGTGAGAAAAACCACCTTCAGCCTGTTTCAGACAGGGTTTCCCTTTCTCCAGTGACTTCAAGAATGACTGAAGACTGTTAACAGTTTAGTGCTGGGACTTGAGCATCTTTCTATAAAAGCATTATAAAAGGAAAGCTATTACCATGCAATTAGTATTTGCTGTATGGAGGAGCCTTGCTTTCCCACTGGAAATTTGCTTGCGGTCCACAAATAAAACAAGAATGAAGGCCACTGCTCCAGAGAAGGGGAGTATTGCTCTTCATTTCCACTCAAGTTGAAGTCGTGATAAGGATTTGCTTCCTACATCTCCTGTTATGTTCAAACCATACATCCAGCATTGTTAAAGCATTTCATGAGTATGTGAGTATGCATGACCACCATCCATGCTTGTTTTATTACAGTGTACAGGGTTCAGGAGCAGAACAGCCATCAGGAGCTAACAGTGTAAGCATGCAGAATTTCCATGTGTCCTCTGGTGGTGTAAGTATTTGACTCCTTTGGCAACTAGGTCCAGATAACTACCAATTATCTGCAGCCAAATGCACAAAAATCAGAAAGCCACTTTTTAAATACTGTCAGAAAAGGAATACGCATCTTGTTCCAAATATGTTTCAAATGCCCTTGCACCTCAGTGGAAATGCCCCACACAGAAAATTCGGCACATTTCTGATTCCATCTGTATTGTAAAGATAAAGTGTTAAATTTTAATATCCAGGAAAGATACTCAAAAATGAGTCAGAGTGTGACTAGGAGACTGTGCAACATTCAGAAACTGGTGAGACTCACAGGACTGATTATCTTCCACAGCATGTTCTGAAGGGGAATAAGAGAACAAGGGAGACTTCGAGACTTACACATCCACTCTCACATCTGCAAAACCTAGTTATCCAAAGGAAAGTATTCTTGGCCATAAAGCAGAGATTTTCCATCTACCATTTTTGTCTGGCCATAGTGATAATTCTGGAGCAATGCATTGATGCATAGTCTCTTCCATAAAAATTTCAACTCTATAAACAACCATCAATTGCACTGTTCCTTCATGAAACCCTGTATTCTCCCACACCTTCTGAATACAGCACATACTTCCTGGAGGTGATAATCCACATTTCAACATCCCACCATGGCCATAGTATATGGCTGAGAACTTGCGATTTTGGCACAGATCACTGGCACAGCTGGCAAGGCTAAAAGCATATTAAGGGTAGAAGAGAATCAGAGCCTGTATTATATTAAAAGAGACTTGGTCTTTTCCAAGGGACAGATGTTTCTGCTCAGAGAACAGTTTTAGAAGATGCTGGGATGTGGAAGGAACAGCATTTGTTTATGAATTTCATAAGAGGAATATTTTACTCTATCTGCTCTTTCAAGAACTTAATATTCCTATTGTGATCCTTGCAGATTGCACTGCTGAATATTTCAAGTGGTGTGAATGGTGACCAGCATTGACCAGCATTCCAGATACTTCTGGCTGCTTGATCTCAGCAGCCTAAAGCTAGTACCTCTGCAGAGCTTGCCAGAGTGAATGCACATTGTTTTAAAGTTGTACTTGTTCATCCCATTGGAAACTTTCTGGCTGAGATCTGTAAGTATGTTAAGCACCTTCACCAGGGCAAAACAAGATGCTGTCCCTACAGCTCTAATCCCCCTATGCCCACACAGATTAGACTGACCCATTGCAACAGTCCCATCTTGCTCATAGCCTCGTTCTGCAGAGATGTCAGTATGCTCAAAAACCAGCAGTCAGGCTTGTGACCCATTCTAGCATGCATCTTGAAATCTCTATAGGACATCTGGTGCCAGCCAAATTAAGAGTGAGAATAAATTAATCTTTCTCAAGATGAAGTATGGCCTGAGCTGTAAAGATGTGGAAAGGCCACTTACCAACTAGTCCATGCCTTCTCTCATAGCCCTAAATGTGCCATGTGTGGTAAAAGATGGCCTTGAAGACAGATGGAGACAGACAAGATGAAGAAATAGGTCTCATCCCTTGTAACTCAGATTCTTTCACAGAAAACTGATAAACATGATGACAGAGCAATGGCCCATTCTGTGACAGGAGTCTGGAGGAACAAACCCTGCCCTCTCCCAGTAAAATAAAACAAATCCTCATGAGTTTTTCCTCACAAACCCAGAACTTTTCTGCCATATATGGAAGTGAGGGATTCTTTGCCTTGAAATCTAATGCAGTTATAAAATTATGTGCATCTTCTGGTTGTCATGCAATAGGAAGAAGTGATATGCCAAACTTACCTCCTGAAAACCTGCAGTTCTGAAGGGCTTATGTTCAGTTCAGAGCAGACAGCAAGAGAGAAAGGAGGTTCTCTGGAATTTTAAATTGTACTTGCCAGAGGAAGGGGCTGGCACAGGGTAGGTTTATTGCTGCACGGTTCCTCTAGTAGTAAAGTATGACATCAGCCCTCAAGCAACTGAAACAGAAGACAAATAATCAAAATAGTGCTCCCCAGAGAAGGAGGCTGGAGACAGTGCCAGGTAACTATCTTAAAGGACCTCACACTTTCTGCCTCATTAATTATGGCTTTAAAACAGTACAAAGACTGGAAACAGAAATTATATAAACTGGGGTGAGAGTCCTCATTTATTACTTTACTTGCACCTGTGGTACGTTCACAGAGCAAATGTACTTCTTAGAACTTTCTTTTTCTTGAAGGTAAGTAAACAAAAAAAACCCTGTCATAACTACTGCATTGTACAAAAATTGAATTGTTTTTAATAGTACGGATGTAGTGAAGGAATATTTTAAGACATCAAACAAATATTTTGGATACTGTTCAGCATCTCAAACTATCTCCTAGCTAAAGTGACAATGTAACCTCACCATTCAGCTTACTATCTTTCAGGATTGTTGCACTAGTGCGGACAACTCAGGCCCCTCCTGATACCTCTAGATGCCAGTTTCCAGCATGCTGCAATCACGGCTTTTATTGCTCTTTAGAACACAGCTAAATCTTAATAAACGTCCTGTTGTTTTAAGCCAAGCTGGTAACTCATCACCACACATTCATTTGCTCACCCTCCTCCTTCCCCCCCCTCACCTTGTTGCTCCGTGTGGGATGGGGAGGAGGATTGAAAGAATGTAAATGGTTGAGAAAAGAACAGTCCAATAACTAAAGTATAATACAAAACTACTGCTACTACTACTACTAATAAGGGAAATAACAAGGTGAGAGAATATAAAATTAAATAGGGAAAAAGGAAGGAAAAAAAAAAAAAAGAAGAAAGACAAGTGACGCACAATGTAATTGCTCACCATTCGCAAACCGATGCAAGCCTGACCCAAGCAGCGATCTGGGCCTTCCGGGTGATTCTCCCCAGTTTATATACTGGGTATGACGTGATGTGGTATGGAATACCCCTTTGGCTAGTTTGGGGTCAGGTGTCTTGTCCCTGTTCCCTCCCGCCTTCTTGAGGCCCTCCTCACTGGCAGAGCATGAGAGAATGAAAAGTCCTTGACCACAGTAAGAGCTGCTCAGCAATAACTAAAACACTGGTGTGTTATCAGCATTGTTTTCAGACTAAAGCCAAAACACAGCCCTGCACCAGCTTCTAGGAAGAAAAATAACTGCTAAAACTGAACCCAGGACACATCCAAACCTGTCAAGTCTTATAAAATCTCTTGCTGTGCTTAGACAAATAGTCTAACATGTCTAACATCCATCCATTGTCGAGCATGACCAGTCTTAGGGCAAGTAAACTTACTATTTACCATATTATTTTCTTTCCCTCAAAACACTTTTAAAACCAAAAGCCAATGTAACATTCCAGCAGCAGACCTTAGCTGGTGATTTAAATGCTGCTACATATAACTCATTTTGTGTCACAAACTGTATCTCTTCTTGTGACAATCAAACACAAATGTCTCAAGGGGGAAAAGAAAATAATCAGTCTCCAAGGTGCTCATACAACAGCAAGCCACAAGCAAAACTCTACACCCTACAAACTGCATATCAAAGAAAACTGAAAAATCTCCTCAGAATAGTTTTTAGTGAGTGGATGTTAGGCTATGAATAAGTGAGGATGTCAAGTAAGATTAAAATCTTAGGTGACATTTAGAGAGATTGATTCTGTTGGTTCAACTCCTAAATGGTTCCTTCAGGAACAAGACTTCCCCACCGTGAGCATGTGACTGCAAATACACCTCCAGATATGTGATACAATTGTACCTAAGGGGTTTGCGGGGAGAAAAACAGATAAATTGTGGGAAAGATTTCTTCTAAACTTCCTGGCCATCATCCAATGTCAAGCTGCTTGCTCCTTATACACACCCCAGTGCTCTCTGCCGTGCAGTGCACTCAGTAGCAGCCTGCAGCCAGCACAAACAGGGCAGCTTGAAGAGGGAAAAAAATGCATTATCAAGTATTAAAACCTAACATGTAATGTTCTTATCCCACTGGGAAATTGCTCCCTGGAGCCCTTTGTTAAACGTTAACACAGAGTAATGTCTTAGAGGTGTTCCTCTTATAGACAATTCATTTTCCCCTTTTCCTCCTCCTCCCCACGCCCGTTTTTTTTCTAAACTGCCAGGTTTATGGGGTGTTTCTGCCTCTGGATTTTTCTTTTGTGGATTTTCAAATCAGCAACGCGGGGGGGGGGGGGGGAACTGACAGGGAGCATTATGGAAAGTGGGGGGCTAATTCGGGTAATTATACTGGCAGAGATGCCAAGGGAAGAGACTGTGAAACGTTTGGGTGAGACACACGGGGAGAACAAAACACCTTTCTCCAGAGAAGACTATCAATCCTCCTAGTCACCCAGCCCGGCGCCTCAGCTGCTCACAGACTACCTCATGGCTTATTTAGCGACGAGTCTTCCACACAGGCAAAAGACAGAAAAAAGAGTCGCTTTCACCTGTCCACCGCTCTGTTACCTAGCTCTGCTGTCGTCACCGCGGCCGGCTTCAAGTGGAACTCCCTCAGCAGGGTACTCCCTCTCCTCTGCTGCGACCCCCGTGGCGGTTTCGCGCCTGTCCGTGTTTCCGCCCCTCAGCACCAAGGTGTCGAGGGCTCCGCCTGCTCCCTCTCTGCTCTTGCTGGTAATGTGGGGTGTAACAACTGCCCTTCCTCAATCTCTGCGCTCTGCCCGTGGCGGCTGCGGAGCTGTGAGGAGCCCAGAGGCCCGTGCTAGTCGCAATGCTTCAATCAGCTGTGGGACACACCGAGCCTCTCGGCCAGGCTGGCGGCGCCCTGGAAGCGCCAGCTAGCAGAGGACTAAAATGCCGGCGAGCAGAGGGGCTAGGGGAAGAAACACAAGAGCTACAAACAGCAGTGCGAGCGCAGGGGCAGCGAGGCAGGCGCGCAAGGAGCTGCTGCAGGCCCCGGGGCAGGCAAACCCCTGCAGGCCCTGGAGAGGACGGTGGTGGAGCAGGTGCATGTGCCCTGAGGGAACTACAGTTTATGGGAGGCACCCCGCCATGCGGTGAGGAGGAACACGAGGAGGGAACGAGCGGGAGGAGAGCGGCTGGATGACCCCAACTGCCATGGCTCCTGAGTGGCCCCGGCCTGACCTCAGCCCACATTACTCCTCCCCCCTGGGCTGCTCATGGGGAGGAGGTGGAGTTGGGAGTGAAGATGAGCCTAGGAAAACACGAGGGTGGTGGGAAGGTGGTGGTTTATTTTTTGGCTGTGTTTCTTGCTACGTAAGTTTACTCTGATTGGCAATAAATCAAAGTAATTTCCCCAAGGAAATTTTTTTTGCCCACGATGTTAACTGGTAAGTAATCTCCCTGGCTTTAACTCAACACAGAAGTAATTTTCTCCCCACGTTTTGTTGAGTGGGAAGGCACCAGGATGGGCCTCCTGCAGTCAGTTAAGGTCAGCCCACCATCACTGCTTAGGTGCCTGCCCCAGAGAACATCGCATCACAAAGAATGATAATCACGAAAGAGTTATGCACTATAATACAAAGTTAAACACAAAATTGATCACTCACGAAGATACAGTTGGCAGGCGTCAGGGAGTAACCTTGAGAGGTGTCCCCGCTCAAGGGGAGATCACCACCACTTAGTAAGCTGCTTAGCAGGGAGTGCTCAAAGAAAGCTCACTTGGGCTATAATACTTACGGAATAAAGTGAGCCAGCCGGCTCCCAGCCAAATTCCGTGCAATGGGAAAGATATGCACAGCACTCCTTGTACTCACAACTTCCCTTGTTCCTTGACAAATGAGTCTCGAAAGAACCACCTGCTTTCATTTGTATGAATCACATGGTCAGTGTTCAGTTTGCAAGGTCGTATGCACCAGTGTTCACCATGTCACCCTGTTCCTGTGTGGGTTTTCAGAGAACAGATCGGAGTGAGAGAAATTCATGGCCTGGTTGTGTGCTAGCCCTTCCTGCCTTTGGGACCTGCACCACACTACCACTGATCTGGTCAAAGAGTTGGGTCCAGCCATCACACTCCTGAACCTCTGCGCTAGGGGATCCACATACAACAGCTCTTTTTGTCCTCTCTTAATCACTGCACAACAGGAATGCATTGAGGCCACATCTTTTTTTCATTTATGGCACTTTAGACTCCGTTCCCTTTTCCCTACCCCATACTCACCCTTCTGGCACTTGAAACAACACTGAAAGGAGCAGGCAGCTCTACCTGCCTCATCCATGTGTGCCAGGTGGCATGGGGCTTGCACCTTGACTACCCAGGCCCCACAACCAGCTGCTTTCTCCTAACCTGTCTGGGAGGCTCCTTGTGGTGCCAGAGAGAAAAGAGTGGGGTGGCGGGGCAGCTTCACTGTGAGGTTCAGAGGAGCAGTTTGCTGGTGCTCTTGGATCTTGACTTAAACACTGCTGAAGTCTCTCTTCCTACCTGGGAACAGCCTGGCTCACAGAGAAACTGCATGGGCAGTGCATGGCAGCAGGAGGACATGGGATTTCTTAAGGCTAGCTGTGGCATTTGGAGGGAATCTGGAAGCTGTGTGCTGTGGGGCAGCTGGTGATGGTGAGTGCAGCAGAGACTGCCAGGCTGCATTGACCAACACTGTCAGGGTTTAGGCAGTGTGGGCTATTGCTGGGCCAGGAACACTCTGAGGAAATAACCCTGTTCTAGATGAACAATACAGGAGCCAAAAAAATAACAACATAATCCTTCAAAATAACTCAGATTGAGTTTCTCTGGGGAAAGAACGTAAGGCAAGCAATACACTTCAGAGGAGACTGAACTTTTTACACTATTCTCATCTCTCTTGCTCCTGCAGCTTCTGTCATTTGCTCATCCTGTTCCCAAATTCGCTCATTTGTTCTTACCCTGTCTCTTCTTTGTACCCCTGGTCGTCTCAGCTATTTTCATCCTCCCTTCCCAGCTATTCTGGACTAAACTTCCTGTAACAAGGTTTTACCCTTAAACCCAGTAGGTGCAAACCATTTCCTTCCACTGATGAGTAACCACTCCACCTTTCCCCGTGGTCCTAATGCTCCCCCACTCCTTCCACTGCACGGTATCTTCCCCATCCCTGCTAGCTCCAGAGTCCCCTGCCCTGTCATGCATGCATGCTGTAAAGGCAAAACAAGTGTAACTTTTGGATTTCCACACTGTCAAGGCAGAGAACAGGACTCAAGTAAAACAGCTGGTCTTTCCCCATCATAGATACTTTTCCCAATTATAGATACTACTAAATGCACACTTTCTCTCACTGGAAATTGTCATCACAATTACATGCCCCATAGCAGCTTCACAGTCTGTGTAAATACTGTAAAAGCTTATTTCCTAGAGTCCATCCATGTCCTCATACTCATTTTTTATAAACTTTCTTTTACCCCAACTCCACTTGCAATAAAACAGCTTTCCCAGCTTGCCCTGGATTCCTCTTATGCCTGTCTCCTTGCCTTGGTGCACCTCCCATGTGTCACTCTCCAGACCTCTGTATTCAACTTGCACTCAACAGCAGCAAGAACTGCCACTGAATAGCTGCCAGTATCACATGCCACCAAGTGAGAATGTGTGGACTCTAGAAGCAAGATTGATTCAGATCTGCTCCTACTCAGGCAGCTTACGTAGCAATCACCTTCACCATTTGCCTCTGCCACAAAAACTGCGCTACTATTCTGCAATACAGAATGTCAGCCAAGATGCATACATTAGTTAGGAACCACTATTTGAAAACAATTTCTTATTTAAAATCGCTTTACTGGTTATTTACTTGGCATTTGTAATTAAAGAGTTTTCTTTCAGTAGAAAGAAGAAAAGTATTTTAAAAAATAAGGAAGAGTAATTGGAAAGGAAGGGTCGTTACTCATGGTTAGAAAGAAATGGTTTGGACCTATTGAGCTTAGGAGTAAAATGTTATGGGAAGTTTAGTCCATAAGTCCCATAATAATTACTTTCTTGAGCTATGCTTAGCCCATCTGATGAGACATGCGGAGTCAGTGATTAACTGGTGTTAAGTCAGGAAATG